CCACGGCGTGTGACGGGGGAGCAGCTTTTCTCGCCCCGGAGTACCCGGGCGGCGGGACCGCGAGGCCCCGCAGTCCGTGTCCTCCGGGGCAAGAAAAGCCCCGTTCGTACCTGCAAGTTGGGGACTGCCTGTATGTTTATACCCGGCGTATAAGACGACCCCCGATTTTTGGGGGATGTTTTTTAGTATAAAAAGTCGTCTTATACGCCGGAAAATACGGTAGTCTTAAGTCAAAATGCACATATGAAAACAAGAGGAAAAAACTATTAAATCCAGAGATTTGGGGGGGTTCTTATTTAACCAGACACCCCCCCCCACGGTGTTATCTGGTGACAGAGGGTGTTTTATTACACCATGCTCTCTGTTTATTAGGGATGTTAAGGACTAGTCAACAAGTCACCCCCCGCCCTGCACCTTGCTGCCTCTATCAGGTAGAGGCAGCAATGGGGGGGCGGGAAGAGGAAGAAGGGGTGGGAGAGGAGACCTGGGCTCTGTGCAGCGCAAAGCCTGGGGTCAGCTGGGGAGTCCCCAGCTAATCCTGGGCTCCCTGCAGCACTGTCCGTTTGAAATGCTGCTGTGGCATTTCAAAGGTGCAGCGCCATCCTATCAACTAATTGAATAGTTGATGCAAAAATGCATCAACTACTCGATTAGTCAATTACACGATATTTAACATCCTTACTGCTTATCTGCCATATAACACTGTCAGATGCAAGGCTGCGCCTATCTCTGCAAAGTGTACGTGTGTGTGTGTCTCTCTCTCTCATATATAAAAAAATGTTTCCTGCAGGTTGATGGAACAACATTACATCATTTGCAAACACAGGATGGAGGATAGGCATGATTGGTGAAAGCTCAGCTGGAGACGGAAGCCCCTGTCCCACCCTTTCTGATCTGCCCCTGGAGCCAAGTCCTACCCACTCACAGCCCCGCCCTCCCAGGCAGCCACATGGACAGCTGGGGCTGCCACACTGCGGCCTCCGCCCAGCTCTCCCTGGCAGATCCTGCCCCCAGTTCGCTCCTGCATTCTCCTCCCCGGCTAGATACTTACCCACAGAGAAAGGGGGATTGGCGAGCATGGTGAGCAGGGGGCATAACCCCCTAGTTTCTATAGAAAAATCACAATTCAGGATCTTACAGAAACATTCTCTTAATCCAACAGACATCAGATGTTCTCCACAATACCCCACTTTTAAGAGAAGCAGTCAAGCTAGTAATGATACTTACCCCCACATTTTCTTTTTGTATTTGTCTGCCATTTTTAACACAACTTCCAAATAGGAATTTCTTCCTGCAGCTCCTGTTTCCAGACAGAATTTGACAAAATTAAAGCAGGTCATTCTTTTCTCTTAATTGACATCATACAGAAAATTCCTCCTTTTATTCTACCTGTATCAAGAATATGAGGCAAGACAGCAATGACACAGAGCTGGTAGGCGTCACAGGTATTCTTCACAACGCTTTCATCAATAATCTGGGGGAATGAAACAGGAAGCCATAGATTATAAAATGCCACAGCACTCAGGCGATAATAGCGCCGGACTCCTAGCTGAAGGCTTACCTGCTCTGTACGGAAAAAAAAAATATCACTTTTCCTATGACAGAGCCAGAAGAGACACTGCAAGCCTCTCTCTAGTCCATTAGCAGAATACTATCTGAAACACCATGCCCAAACCTGTGCATATTCCTAGCAATTCTGGTGGTGCTGCATGTTCAGCTGTGAGGGATGATCAAATGGAGACTCAGTTGACAGGGAATGAAATTAAGTAGCCTGTCAGCAGCAGAGCAATAAAAGATGGTGTTAAAATACTCACAGGGATTTTCATCTTAATTTGATAGGCACCTGCCAGTTGCAAGGGGATAAATGTAGCAGACAAAATCTCCATGGTAAAATAAATCCATGGAGCAGGAAACAATTAAAGGGATATAAGTGCCTCTGATAAAGCCAACCCACTTGAGATGCTGCTAAAACTTCCCTGCCAAAGGGACTTCTAGTCTTGAGGCTCATTAGACAGGTATGTTGTGGCTTGCCAACAACAGAGGCTGTCTCCAACCCTGCCAATACTGAGGGGGCGAGAGGAATATCTGTGTGCACATGCACTACAGTGCAGGCACCCACCCTGGCAACCAGTTCATGTGTCTCAGATTACATAAACTGTTGATATTTTCCATGTGCAACAAACACATTGCTACAAAGTGCAGGTTACTATGTGTTTGCCCAATAGCATCATCAGTGTCTACGATGTCAGGAGAGACAAGGAGTCCCATGGCACCTTAGGGACAGTTTTTGATTAAATGGGTTATTCAACTGGCCAGTCTCTGGTCTTAGACCGTGATAAAAACCTGTGTGCTGAGGGAGAAGAGTTGTGGGAAGCTCCTTGTGCACACCACATGCATTACAAGAGTCAATTTTTGCTTTTAAATTGGTGGCTCACATCCAACTTTGAAGTTACCGACTGTAGGCTGCCTGTGGGATTAAGTGAAACGTGTGGTTTTCACCTACCTCCTAGAGGTCAGGTGGGCTTTATGACAAAGTCATGACCAAAGTGTCAGCAAAGGGCGAAGGTTTTAGTAGGAACAGAATCTGAACGTTCATCTTGTCCCCCTTCCTATAAGTGAGGTTTAGATCTGCAGTGGGCAACCTGCAGGCCACATGTGGCCCACTGGGGCTTCACGGACCCCATTTTCTCCCTCCCCCACACGCCCCTCCTCACACACTGGGGCACTGGAGCCCTGCACTTCCTCCTACTCCTATGCCCTCCCAACACTTTCAGAGCCCAATGAATTGCCTGAGTTGTGCTCCATCCCATCTCCTCCCCCTCCCTCCCAGAACTTGAGGAGGGCAGAGGAGGAGTGGGGACAGAGCATGAATGAGGCAATTTGTGGCGCTCTGAAAGAGCTTGGGGAGGAGAGGGGGGAAGGTCAGGAAATGCAGGGCTTTAGTGCCCAAGGGGGAGATGAGCAGATTAAGGGCAGCAGTGGGCTGTGGCCCATTGAGGTGAAGGAGGGCCACTGAAGGAGTCCACTCCCTATTTTTGGCTGCCCCTCGCTGATTTAGATACACTGGCAAGACTGCTTATAGTGCTGCTGCCTTGCTGATATCAAGTCTATGGATCAAGATCTTCAGCATTCAGGACCATCAGTCCAACTTCTTTAATGAGCAATATTATTCAAGATAAAGAATAAAGCTACAATGGCATCAGGTTGCGATCTTTGAGTACTTCAGATCCAAAACAAATGCTGCCTATACACCAGTTGGTCATTTTCTTGACCATTACCGTTCTTCTTAAAAATAACTGCAAGACCCAAGAGAGAGAGGATGGAAAAGTACTCAGAGAAGTTCAGATACCTCAAGCAGCTCAGGTGGAGGGGCACTTTCAGAAAAAAGATCTAGCGCTCGAGCAACTATGTCAGATTTTGTTCTTCCACCATCGTAATCAACAGGGTCTTCCCCTTTCTGAAAGATCTTGATTGTGGGAAATCCTCGGATCTGCAATCAAATGTAGAAGTTATTAGTTCAATTCAACATGAATGCCAGTGATTGCAATGCACTGCCAGCATGACCAGCTCTAGATAAGAGAGTTTTACATCAAGACAGGGTATTTCCACACTACATCTAAGAGCTACACCCTAGACCTAAACGTTTTAAAGGCAAATTAGTTATTCCTTGTCCATGCTACAATTTAAAAAATGGTGTTAACACATGTTAAAAGTACAATCAACTACTGTAGTATAGACACACACAGCTTCTATGGTGCACCAAGGGTCTAAGTTCTGACATCAGGTCTGCCTAGAATGAGGGATGTAAATGGGTAACCGGTTAACCAGTAAGCAACACCTTTACCAGTAACTGGTTAACCAGCACTCAGCCCAGCTCAGCAGGCCCCTGCCCATGGCGTGATGGGACGATAGAGAAATATAGTTTTAACTAGCTAACATTTTAAATGGGATTTTACATCCCTACCTAGAACCACTGATTTAAGTATCAGCAGGACCAACTTCATTTTTTCATGGCTCCAGAGGCAAAGATTAAGATCTACCAAGTTTTAGGGAAAGGGGGAAGACTGTTAGGAACTGCAGCCCCCCTCTACCACACATAGGACTCCTCCTTCTCTCCTCTCCCCCCATAAAAACCCTAACATCATTTTTAATAAGACTTTATTCCAGTACCTCCACTGGTTGCCAACTGATGATCAATTACAGCTGAATTTCAGAGAGATTTTATTCACCCTTCACCAACACACTACTCAGTGGTGATTTTTCTTTCCACCTTTGTAAACTATTTTAGTATTAACATGTGGAAGAACACTTAATACTTTTAAAAAAAACCCGAGCTCTTAAAAGCATTGTGGTATTTTCAAAAGCAACTAGACAACTCACATCTATTGAAATCAATGAGTTTTAAGTGCCTGTGTGCCTCTGACCTCATTAGGGCCTAAATACCTTTTAAAAAATCAACCCAAACTTCTTTCTGGGAGAAGAGGGGTCCAATGAAGCATTAATTCTGAGCCTGCAGTATCACCTCATCTGTATAGCTAACATGACACCTTCGGAATTCTTTCAGATGAAGGTACCATGTGCACACAAAAAATGCCAGTTCCAGAGGAGTGGAAGGTAATTTAGGATAGCACTTAGCAAATTGCTACTGCGTGCAATTATTCCAGACCTTGTGGAAGTAAATTGCAAGAGTCATTAACATACTTTTTTTATTAGCAACATCCATATTTATACGACTTTTTCCACTTCACATTCTCAATTTTTGAGAAAAGCACTAGTTTCCCCATGAACTGAGTGAATCACCTTTAATACTACATTTCTTTGTACTAAGATTATGAATAAATGTAGGTAAAAAAAAGTTCTTTAGGTACTACTAGAGAAGTTGACCTATTGGAGATATTGCAGACGACAAGGGAATTCTCAAGCCTCTAGAGCACGCTCACCCCATAACGGCTGGCTAACATCTGGTTCACCGTAGCGTCAACAGCTGCCAGTTTTACTTTTCCCTTCGTTTGTTCTTCCACTTCTATGGCAGCAGCTGCCCATTCTGGCTCCAGACTAGAAAGCAATGTATGGCCAATAAATAGCAGTAAAAAACAGCATGTTGGAGGCAAACCACAACCCACAGCACTCTCCAACCTGGACTATCCCAGCTCATCTTGAATTCTTGGGTCAGAAGAATGCTTGGGCCCTCTTTACATCAGGAGCATTCAAAGGGCCTGATCCTGTTCTTACTGGTGGCAGTGGGAGTTCTGACAGTGATTTCAAATGAAACAGGACTGGGTTAACAAATGCTAAATCAAGAACTGCAGGGGGAGACACAGGTTCCCTTTTAAATTCTGGAGCAGGTACAATAAAGTAGCGGTTCCCAACTGCTGGTCCATGAACCACTAGCTACCGGGCCGTGGCAGCTCAGCTCCAGCAAGACGTGGTGGCTGAGGTGCTGAATGAGGGAGCAGAGCAGGAGGTGCCACGCTCTTTCCCCTGAGCTTGGGGAGGCAGTAGAGCAGGAGGCACCTGCCTCCCTCCCCCCAGTAATGGTGGCCCAGCTGAGGCTCCACACTCCGGCCCACCAAACCATGGGGGCACAAGACACACTTGGGGGGGAAAAGGGGGCACGAAGGAGAAGTGCGCATGCCACCAAAAGCTGCTTCCCCTGCCTATGGTAGTAACAGCCACACAGCCTAGGGGAGTAGCCTCACTCTGGGGAGTCACCAGCTGTAGGTGTCAGAGGTTAAAGGGTCAAAGGGTGTTAGGTACCGGGGAGCAAGGGGCTGAGCAGTCAGACTTTATTTGCATATTCATTATTTCATAATGAATATGCACATAAAATTTTACCAGTCAGCCAAAATTTGGGAACGGGTTTGCCATTCCCGGGCATAAATGGTTGAGAATTACTGCATTAAAGAGTAACTCATCCTACTGTAAAACCCCACATCTAATAAAAAGAGAGACAGAGGACCCCAATTCAAGGAATAAGCTGCTTACATACTTTACAGTTGACAAGTGAGCACCAATTTTAAATCATTACCAGGAACTTCACTTACTTTTTGCAGTGTCCGCACCATGGAGCGTAAAACTCTACCAGCCAAACATCATCACTATTCACAACATTCTTATCAAAGCTGTCATCAGTCAGTTCAATCACATTCTTCTTATCTGAGCCTCCACTTTCTCGGCTACTCTGTAGGTCAAAAATAAGTCTCAGTTAAACTAGGGAAATTTATGCATTGCTCCCTCACATATAACCCACCCACAGCAGCTCCAGATGTGATCACTATCATATCTGCATCTACACACTTTCTTTGCTAAATTAAATTAAAATATCCAAGTTCAGGAAAAATCAAGTTTCCCATACTAGAGCGATCCATGTCAATATAGCCCACAAAGCATATACAGCCAGTCCCCAAGTTACGAACGTATTACAGACCAAACACTTGGCCGTAACTCAGAATGATCATAACTCGGAACCCATTGAGTTACATTGCAACCGCACTGTTCATAAGTGCGGATCGCTTTCGTAACGCAGAGCCCGTATTTATGACTGCTTTGGTCATAAGTGAGAATGGTCTTAAGTCAAGGTGGCTGTAAGTTGGGGACCGGCTGTAGAACGTATTTAAGTCCTTGTGATGGGGTATCTGCCCCACACTGGCCCTTTAAGGATAAAACCCAACCCTGAGGCAGGACCAAGAGCAAAAGCGGCATCTGAGGCAGATACTGCCAATTAGGGCCCAACTGGGGGCTGTATAAATAAGGGCTCCTGAAGGGTGATTCTTGGTCTAGCTGGGGAGCAGGAGGGACCTGGCTGCCAGGGAAGGTGGGGGCTTCCTGAGACAAAGCAGTGCAGGGGAAAGGCAGGCAGAGCTGGGGAGCCCTGGCCTTCCCTCACTCTCAGGCTGCAGGGCCAGAGGCAAGGCCTGAGTGTACTGGGCTGCAGGGAGACAGCCAGGCTAGGAAGAGGCAGCAGGTCCACACTCCCTTGCCAATGATGAGTGGCCATTTCAGACTGCAGTTCGCCCCTGTGGCAGGGGCTAAATGAAGACTTCCAGTGGGTTACTAAGGTAAGGTAGGTATAGGGGAATTGCGAGTACCTAAAGGTATAGGGTCCTGCGAGGGGAGGACCCCAGAGTGCAGAGACTGATAAATACCCACCCCCGGAAGGAGGTGGAGAGAAACTTTAGTGGGCACTGCTGCAGGGCAGCATCCTGAAGAGGACACTGTGGTCTGGGAGTAACACGGGTCCAGCACTGGAGAACTGAGTGATGGGAGAGACACCCTGTGGGCTGGTAAGAGCGAATTCCCAGTGCTACAGGCAGGAGGCACTGTGGTGGTGAGTGTCTGCCTGGTGACACCCCTAAAAACCCACAGGAAGCAATGCTATTGTTTCTGAAAAAGACTTGGACTTGGATCTTAATGGCTCAAGACCTTTTTGTTCACTTTTGGAAAGAAATCTCATAGGCAGAGTAAACGGACACGGTCAAGTTTCAGCTTTTTTAATAACTTTTTTCCCCCCACATTGGTAGTAATGTCTAAATTTATTAAGATTACGTGTAAAATTTACAGGAGGTCCTTAAATCTGCTTGGTTGGAGAAATGACATAGGCACTGGGCTTCTGTGGTGCCTGTTTAAAGTCAATGGTGTTTAGTTACTTTTGAAAATGGGAGCTGGCTACCAAGCACTTTTGACAATGTCATCCTAAGAATTTTAGAGTATTTGTATTTTTTACTGTTCTGTTTACATTTTCCACTTCAGGTCTTGAATTGTGAAATCATTTCATTCATTTTGCAGCAATTAATGTTTAGCATCTGGTCTCATTCCTGGATATTTATGTTTTCTTTTCTGACTCTCACATTAAACTATTTTGAGGTCCCCAGATGGAAGGTACCACAGAAGAGCAAACATTAATGTGCTTAGCCGTAATACAGTTCTGAGGAAGGGATAAGGAACTCCATTTAACACATGGAGATACCAACAAAGAACGAAGACTAGTTAGTTGCTCCTTCCAATGGTCTCTTTTGCATTAGTGCTCAGACTAAGTCGCCACATGCAGTTACTCATTATAACTAGTACCCCTAGTTTTCGCGCACACTTTGCAAGTGGCATACCAGCCTGAACACAGTGATTCCTGGCACACTCCAGAAGTACACAGCTCTAGGAGCACAAGTTCCTGATTTGCTGCAGAAAACATGAAGCCTCATCAATAAAAATAATGCATTATCTATTCCCTGATAACTACCTGCTTTCCAGAACTATGTCCTCCACTTCTGCCACTAAGACGATCCTTTACCAGTGATCGAAGAGAACTTAAAGCAGCATCAACGATAGCTTCGCTTGTTCTGCCACCTGTGACACAGCAGAAGAAAGAGGTAAAGGGCTGAACTGTAAAATCAAAGTAGCACCCTATTTAATCTAGAGTCAGTGCCCAATTCTGCTCCTGCTGGTTTTAGTGAGCACAAGACTGGGTCTTACAGACATTTTGTGCATGGTGGGAGTCAATTAGCTTAGGCATTAAGTTTGCTCAAGTGTTTCTCCTCACAAATACTAAAAAGCAGGAAAGTTAAATGTCAACATTGCCTTGTATGTAACTCAACAGTCTTAAAAGGATAGGTCATTACCACCACGAAAGCACACAGATACCATAAACAGCCCTTATTTTCAGTCCATGTACATAAAGAAACCAGTAATATCTTACTACAATGCTTTGGACCTTTTGATTTAACTTGGAATCTGCTATTATGACATCATACATGATAAATTATTTAACTGCAACTAAGAGCAGCAGAGTTCTTTTCTGTTTGTTTCCTAAATAAGTGTAATCTACACGAAGGTACCTGATTTAGATAGCAGAATATATGGAATAAGCAAATTTTTTTTTTTTTTTAAATCTATCACACATGACATGAAAGACACACAACACATGAAAGAATACTACATAGCATTTACCCTGGTAGTCTTCTGGTTTGTTCTTGTTGGATCCAAATATCTTGATAGATGGAAATCCTCGAACGCCATACTGACCTCCTAGGGACTGATGCTTATCTGCATCAACAGCACCGACTTTCACAATACCCTATTGAAATGTTGAAAAGCTTCCATTGTAATTTAATGCAGTTGACAAGACAGGAGCCATAACGGTCAGATGGAAAGTACTAGTGAGTATTTACTGGGTCAGTTTGGGGCTACGGCAGCCTAGTAGTTGGGAATGTGACAGAGAAAGACATCAATTAATGTTTTTTTAAAAAAAGTATATAGAAAGAATAAACAAATTTCAGCAGATCACTGCATTGTCTAGCATACGGAGCTATTTCTGTGTACTCAACTTCCGCTTG